GGAGGAGGAGGAGAGGGAGGAGGAGAGGAGAGGGAGGAGGAGGAGAGGGAGGAGGAGGAGAGGGAGGAGGAGGGGGTGGAGGAGAGGATTGTACGTGTGTATGGGAATCAAGTGGCCGCCGAAGCTGCAAAATATGAACTCAAAGGCTACAAAGTCTCCCTCCCGGAATATACGAATCCCACACACTACAATCTGTAACCCTTGGGGCCCAGTTATACCCTATCCAGTGCGTTCCTGTGAGTTCGCGGCCGGAACTCACTGGATCGCATAGATCAAGCCAGGCAGCGTTCTGGGGCGTCTTTTTTCGATCGGGGGCGTGTCTTCGGTGCTATTGACACGAATGGCACCCCCTCCCGCCCCAGAACGCTGCCCGGCTTGATTTATGCAGGGGCGCCCCAAGGTTCGCGTGCGCGTGACGTCACCTCGCGCATGCTCGATGACGTCATTGATTGATGCCTCCCGCGAACATCTTGGTGATGGACGCTGGCAGAGAGAGGAGGGGTCCTTCACCCGGCGGGATGAGGTATGCCGCCGGGTCCCCTCCTCTCTCCTGACACTGTCGGGCTCTCGGTCCATGACCGAGTGCCCAAATTTTTACAGGCGGGTGACACCAAAACTACTGTCAGTCATTTTGGTGTCACCCTTGCAATGGTGTCAGCCGTGTGCGCGCCGCAACCTCCTTGTAACCCCGCTGATTTATGCGATCCAGTGCGCGAACCGCACCAGAACGCACTGGATATGGTGTGACTGGGCCCTAAGGCTGGACTTTTGACAATGCACGTTAACACTTGACGATGAGCGTTGACCTGCGTTTTGATGTGCTTCCGTTCATTTCAATGCAATATGCATGGGGCAAAAAATACTTAGGTGTGAATGCAGCCTGAAAAATATAACAATGAATTGCCATCTCTTGGGGGGGCGGGAGGGAATACTTCCAAAACACAAATCCCTGGACCTAAAACGCTCTGTACCAGCAACGAAAGGGCACTTGCAGCCCGTCCATCTCAGAGCCTCGTTAGCGCAGTAGGTAGCGCGTCAGTCTCATAATCTGAAGGTCGTGAGTTCGATCCTCACACGGGGCACATTCGTTTTATTATCAGGGAACGTTCTCCTTCTAATGGCAGCGCTGCCCGGTGTTGCTCTCTATCCGTTTCTGCCGTTACATTGTATCCGCTCATGAGTTATTTTTGTATCTTAACGTTCCATCAGGGGCGGAGCCTGTGTGAAGCTACACATAAGATAGACGCTGGGCGGGGCCACAGGTGCTAGACTGTTGGTGGGCGGGGTAAAAGGCTGACCTGGAAGCTGTCGCAAACGCTCTAGTGTTTGTAGGACTGTGTGACGTTCAGTGTGGGCGGGTCTGCAGTTGTCCAGGGAAGCCAAAGTGTAGCCAGAGGGCGGGTAAACCCGAGGATACTCCGATGTGGATTGGTGGTGGAGAGGTGGGCGTGTCTCGCTGTCATGGAGAGACGGAATAGCGCAAAAGGGTGGTGGGCGTGCACCGCTGTCAGAGAGGATCCGCAGAATGTAGCGTGGGGCGGGGCGGTGGGCGGTTCCCGGGTGTGTGCAGGGAGGGGGCGGAGCCCCGCTGTCAGGCAGGCTCCGGTTAGGGATGGCGG